TTTCCTCTATTAGATACGGGCCATTCGAGTTTGGTGCAGCAACATTAAGAGTAAGAAAGAATACAGTATTAAAGTTGCAAGACAAAACAAACTTTTCGCCTTGCGGCGTGGCCTTTGTAAAGAAAGAGGTACGTCAAGGAATATTACCGCGTATGCTTTCGGAAATTTTGAATACGCGTTTGATGGTGAAGGAATCTATGAAGCTGTATCCGGCAGAAAATCGTACATTGCAACGCGTTCTTCATTCTCAGCAATTGGGTCTCAAGTTAATTGCAAACGTTACTTATGGCTATACATCCGCCAATTTTAGCGGTAGAATGCCGTGCATTGAGGTACAATATTTTAATGAGATATATAAAGATAGAATAATTTGACAAAATTTTTTAATATGCGAAAATGATCTTATAACATTTTTTAATAGATAGGTGATAGTGTAGTTAGCAAAGGGCGAGAGACATTGGAACGTGCGATCAAATTGGTGGAAACCACACCAAGATGGGGCGCACGAGTAGTTTATGGAGATACAGATTCTTTATTTATACTATTACCTGGAAAATCTCGAGAAGAGGCCTTTATTATCGGCGAGGAAATCGCAGACGCTGTTACCGCAACTAATCCCCCGCCCGTGAAACTTAAATTTGAGAAAGTTCTCCATCCATCTATTTTGCAAGTAAGACATTAAACAGAAACAAGATTAATGAGTACATGTAAAGCAAAGATCACAATGATCATATTGTTAAATTTAAAATTTTAGACGAAAAAACGATATTGTGGATATATGTATGAAACTCGCGATCAAGAGAAGCCCGAGTTCCTGGCTAAAGGGATCGAGACGGTTCGCAGAGATGGATGTCCCGCAGTTTCTAAAGTAAAAAAAGAAGTAACAATAAATACTAAGAAGAAAATTCTTATAACTTTAATGTTAAATATTTGCATATTGCAGATACTTGAAAAAGCCCTCAAAATTTTGTTCGAAACGAAAGACGTCTCCCTGGTGAAGCAGTATGTAATCAGGCAATTTGACAAAATCTTTCAGCGGCGCGTATCCATCCTGGATCTTACATTCGCGAAAGAATTTCGTGGAATGCGCGGATACAAAGCCAACGCTTGCGTGCCAGCATTGGAGTTAACACGCAGGTTGATCAAAAAGGATCCTCGCGCTGTACCGCGCACCAGCGAGCGTGTTCGTTATGTCATCGTCGCAGGTGCACCAAATCAAGCGCTCATTCACTGCGTGCGCACGCCGATGGAAGTCGTCGCCGATCCGTCATTAATTCTGAACTCTGTGTATTACATAACGAAAGTCATCATACCGCCCCTCAATCGCTGCTTTAATTTATTCCGAATCGATGTTAATGCGTGGTAAATGAAAGCTATGAAGATTATATTTAAACGAATATTTAAACATATTTATGTACTTCAAATAATTTTGTTCGTGTCTCTTATTATAAAAAGAAATACTATAATAATGTAACCATTGAATACTCTCTCTGCTTTTAAATGACATAATTATAACACGCGTAATTACTGTTTCATCGAATTGTAATCGAAGATAATGGAATACCGTATTTACAGGTATAAAGAAATCTCCCATCATTCGAATTTCAATAATATCGCACACTTAAGAGGAGACAATCCAAAGTCCACTATTCGTCAATTCTTCAGTTCCGCGTCGTGCATTATCTGTGAGGAACAGACCAATAAAGAGATTTGTCCAGATTGCCTTTTACAGCCAAGCCGAACCGTTCTCGTACTTCTCGAAAAGATAAAACAGTTGGAAAGGAATCATCAACAAATTACTGCCGTAAGCATAAACGCAGAGAAGAGATTTATGCGAACGAGCATAAATTTTTCCTTAGATTGAAATTTTTCCTTAGTGACTAATTATATTAAGCTATACAATAATCATTGCTTGCAATAATCATTATTTAATTTTAATGAATTTTTTTCAGATCTGTCATTCCTGCATTGGACGATTGGGTAACATAGAATGCGTGTCTTTGGACTGTCCTGTTTTATACCGAATGGCACAAGCTCGTAAAGAGCTTGCGCAAGTTTCCTATCTAAATAGTATTATTTATGGAAATAATTCCAGTGGAATCAAGGAATTAAATACAGTTACTGAATGGTATTGAATATAAAAGAAATAAATTTTTGTACTTGATATACACACACAATTAAAAAAAAATCAGTGTTCTAATTTCAATTGAATTACAAATATTTTTTGTAAAATAGTACTGTTATTATTATTATAAATACTGTAAGTCATTTCCATCAATAAGAGTAACTTTAATTTTGGTTTAATTTATTGTTTAGCTTTTTCTTATTTTTAGAATTAAAAATTTTAAAAAAGTTAAATTGAATCGAGATTAGAATTAATCTTACATTGGTGGAACCAGACCTCAGTGATGAATTATTTTTACAACTAAATATTCTAAATTGAATAATACATGAATTTTAATTAAATTCCCATTATTTCCTACATCAATTATCTCGCTCATATATTTTTAAATATCAATACTAAATTTAAAAAAATACTTCTTTCTATATTGTGTTTCCTAATTTATAGATAATA